TGGGTTTGGTTGTGCACCGTTTTACCTATATTCTAGCCCATATATAGCCTAAATTCCAGCCCATATCTAGCCTATCTTCTAGCCCATATCTAGCCTATATTCTAACCCATATCTAGCCTATAGTCTAGCCCATATCACGGCGGGGGGACCAACACGTTGTGCCCCGTTGAGAACACATTAAGCACTGTTACATTTATTAAGGTGTGGTCGGGTAACCTAAAGCGTTCGCTCGTCAATGTGGTACAATGTGTGAAGCCCATTTCTGGTGTCCCTGGAATATTGCTAAAAGCGGCGTAACCCCCCCCCCCCCCCGTTTCATTGTCTTGGAGATTCGTATCTGACCCGACCGCCTCCGTGGTCCAGTGGTAGGGCGTCCGCCCGAAGAGCGGAAGGTCCGGGGTTCGATCCCCGGACGCGCGCCATACCAAAAGGCGTTAAAAGATGGTATTTGTTGTTACCCTGTCTGGCGCTCGTCATTAAGGGGCTTAAACAAGGACTGGTCGGCTCGGAGTCAGTATACTGTGTCTGAGTGGGGTATTCATGTTAAACTGCGGCATGGTATCTCAGTGGGCTGGCACTATAAATCGGCATCAGTCCGGACTAGTACAAGCAGCCACACACACACACGTGCATGCACGTCGCTGTATTAGTGCAATAATCTTGGACGCGACGTTTAACCCCATTTCACCTCACCGTATCTGACCCAGTCCGTCTGCATTCGTCAGCTGAAGATAACGGCGTTTGTCTGACAATTGTCACACTGTACTATGCCCCAGAACAGATCTATCTATCTATGCATGGACGTTTTCAAGACAGGTCATTGCATGCATGTTGAGATTCAGATACAATGTTAATACTAAACATCTTTTCACAACTAATACATCTCTCGTGTGAAATAACATGGTTACTTTGTAAGACATTTGTAAGTTCTGACATCGTTTTTGTGCATACATCAACGAAAGGTATTATCGCCAAAGGTTTCGTTCAAAAAACATATCAACATAATATATATCAACACTACGAATTGGTCTTCAACAACCCATGTTTGCCGTGAAGCAGCTCTCACGCTTTGCCGAGGTGGTTGCCGAG